TATATAAGAAGCATTTCTCTTTGAAACATAACAATAACATGAATATCCACATACTCATACTTTAAAACAAACAGTTTATTTAGTTTAATTCCGATAGAATGACTTTATCTTCACACAACATACATTCATTTGATACTTTGATGGACAGTTTATATATTTACATCAACACATTTCCAGACCAGCGCAGTCAGATGTGAGAAACAAATGTTTGACTGGGGTTTGAACAAATACATCTCTGTGGCAAAGGCGGAGTAACTAAGTTCATTTATGTCGGTTCTGTGCTTCTGTACAATTGAGAGGTACTTCCTTGCATGTTTCACTTTTATGCTACTTTATGCTTTATAAAATTTGAGATGTAAATGGTGTACTCTTTACTCCACTGCACATAGTTAATATCTGATTCCATCAAACAGCAACAACAAAACATAGCTGTCAAAACATCGGTGATACTGTAATGATCTGATTGTATAGCAAAATAACACCAACAGGGCCTTTCTTATCAACTAATTTCAGTTTAGATACTTTCGGTGCATTTAGTTGTAAAATGTAGGTATCTGTATTTTAACTTGTGTGAAAATTGGATTTTGACAGGTACTTCTACTTTCTACTTGACTAAATGATGATGGATATTTCTTCCACCTCTGCCCTGTGGTATAATATCTAAACATCCTCTTCTGACTTCATGTGAAGGATGCAGTAAAGATGTTTTCTGGCCAGGAGGTGGTCACAGGTTTACATACGTTACTCAAACATATCTGTTGGTGTAGCAGCAGATAATCTGGTCCGATGTGAGACATTACAAAATAAACTACTGGTCTTAACATTAGAATGCCATCTTTCAACAATACACTCTGGTACAACTTTCTCTCAGTTAAAACTGTATTTACATTTCCTTTTTGTTGCGGTGCCAGTGAAATAACAGACACCGCCCTGTCGGTCTCTACACCCAGAGGCCCCACTTCCCCTTCAGAACAACGCCTGTACATCAACATCACCTGCACACATTTGCACTTCCTCTCAACAGCCACATTCACCATACTTTTCTTCTTTTTCCTCTTCACCTATCTTTACGTACTGTGATTTTACTCAACCAGGTCAAAAGCATCCTGGGAAACAAAGATTCCTGATTTGTGATTTGATATGTTATTATTTAGAACAGATGGCAGTATATGGTCAAACCAAAGAAAGGTTGCAAGAACATAAATTACATAAATAAGCACAGCAATCGTTGTAAACAGTCTTCTGTGTCGACAGTAGGTCATAGATCGTCAGTCAAGATGGACTCATACAGTTTCTCTAAACGTGGATCCAGACCAGAGGACACCCAGCAGTAGCCATCTGCAGTGGTCTTCTTCTTGGCCTCTTTTTTGGTGCGACTGCATCGAAAAATTGCAATAAACAGAGTCACTGCGACCAGCACGAGCAGGGGAATGACTGAGCCGAGGACGCAGACTATCACCCTGGAATTGCTGGTCTTGGCAGAGCTTGTGGCCAAGGACGAGTTGCTCTGCTCGTCACGGTGCGTAACGTTGACCAGGTGTGGAAGCGGTGCGTCAGTGTGGGGGGACTGGTGCTGGAGCTCCACCGTGGTTCCGGTTAAAGACTCGGTGAAATTTTCTTGTGTTTCCTCATCAGCTGAGTCATCAGGTGAGGTAGCTGATGGGACGGTCACATGTGGAGAGTAAGTAGATCCATCGCTCTCCAGGTGGAAGCCTTTGGTGGAGGTGCACTTGAAACTGCCTGCAGTGTTGATGCATGTGAACTCAGCTGAACAGCGAGTACTGACACATTCATTAATGTCCACACAGGAGTGGCCATCTCTGGATAAAGCAAAGCCCTCATTGCAGTAACAGGAGAAAGATCCGATGCTGTTCAAGCAGCTGTGCTCGCATCTTGGTTGCACGCACTCATCCACATCGCTGCATTCACCATCCACCATTTGGTAACCGTCTTTACACACACACGTATGACTGCCGTGTGTATTTGAGCACAAATGATCCCCGCAGGCCTGTGACTGGCACTCATCAATGTCAGAGCAGCTGCGCTGGTCTTCATTCAGTTTGAACCCATCTGGACATCTGCAGGAATATCCTGACTCCCCAATCACGCACTGATGCTCACAGGTGTCAGGACCACACAAGTCCTTAATGCTGCAAGTCAGTCCATCCTCTTCCAGGTCGTAACCTTCTTTGCAAGAGCATCGAACATCGTCTGCGTCTTGATGGCACACATGTTCACATCCTCCGTTGTTGATTTCACAGTTTTGCTTTCCAGCTTTGCAAAACGGGCCAGGGTCAGTCCAGCTATAGGTATCATCCAAATTCCTGCACACAGAGTAGTGAAACTGCTGGTTACTGCATTGAATATTTGCATATGTTCCGATTGGAAATGATTTCATTTCACTTCTTTGTGGCTCTTTTGAGAAGGGTGACGTGTATGTTATTTGTCCAGGCCCCAGCAGAGCCAAAGGCTTGCACATCCCCTTGAAATAAAACTTGCATGCATAAAAAGCAGAGTTTTTACAAGGCCCAGCAGTCCATTTCATTTGGTTCTGACCGGAAAAAGTGTAATCAACCCTTACACATCTCTCCTCTGTGCATGTGGAGACAGGCTCTTTTTTCCAGTTGGCGTAGTTGGACTCTTCCTTCCCTGATACCCATTTAAACCCTCGGAGAATCTTGTCAGGCAACACACAGTCCTCTCTGTGCAGTTTTAATCCAATCCAAACTTTCAGCAGTCTTTCCTGATGTTGTCCTTGTAACAGAGAGAGAAGTGAGTGCAGCACATCCTCTTCATGTCCGTCTCTGACTGTCATCAGATTACCTCCATTATCCTCACAGTTCTGCTGGGCCTTCTCAAAGCTCGCCCTCTCCATATGTAGGGTGAAGCAGGCGTTAGAGTTGCACAGCGTTTCATGTTCGGCTCCCGATAAACCCTCAAAGCTGCTGATGAGCTGCAGTAGAAAAATCAACAACATAATTGCCATGGAGACATTAGCTGACATCCAGAAGGTCCCTGGGAATTTTAGGGCAAAATGAGACCGATATGTGGTCGTCCATTCGTAGCCAAAGAACAAGTGGAGTGGGTCTGAAAGTAATGTTCATGCTCCAGCATCCTGTTTGGGCCACAAACTAAAGACGGAAATCATGTTTAGCAGCAGTTATGGGCTCTTTCTTTCTCCCCTGCTGACCGGTTCCGGTTTGAAGCAGAAAACAATGAAAGGCTCTGCAGTGTTTTGACTGGATCTCCAGATGTCTCCGGCCCCGGTAGGCTTCAGGCATTTAAACTGACTCCCCTAATTGTGGTTCCTTACAATGCATGAACATGTGGGGGTCAGAGTCTTTGGGACACTTTGCCATTACAAATGGGTGCTGTGGATGGACACACAATAGCTGCTGCAGGGGAAGGAACTTGTGACCTTTGCCACCCTGCTGCCACGCTGACTACAGCTGACCTTCACTCATTATTTATAGCAGCAATATTCATATCAAAACCATTCAAAGCCATAAATATTTTACTACCTAATATGGCATTTTGTCTGCACACAGGCATGTAAAACTTTTATCACTGATTTGATTTATTGTGTAACTGATTGAGGAGACAAGTTGTGTGTTTCTAGTGGGAATTATGTTTGCATGTATCTCTGTATGCATACACTGATTTATAGTTTTTCTCAGGCGCTTTGGTACATTTCTCAGATCAGAATTGAAATTCTCAAAACTACTTGTTCAATCTTCACAACATTGTGTCACTTGTGCACATAAAAAAAATCAGTTTTTCATTTCTTTGAACAGCTTCTAAATGCTTTGGTACATCCATGCAAATGATTATGTACAGTTCTCTGCTGTTTCCTGCATTATCAGTTGCTTATGTTGATCAAAATGTATTATAATGAGTCTCTGTTTAACAGTCTCACTCCCACAACACTTAGGCATTAGTTCATGGCATAAGTCTTTACATGCAAAATGGTTGAACAAGTTGTTATAGTATGTCCAGCATGTTTCTATACGTTTCTATCAGACTTTTTTTTTCTAAATCTGTCCTAAATTAGTAAATTGCTCACAGGTGAATCTTTCTCTAATAAAGCAAAGTGTGTGTAGCATTACAGAGATCAACCAATGATAGAGCAGTTTTCTGGAATAGCTCAAAGGTGCATCTTATGAACCATCAACTGGTAAATATAGAGGAAGACTGCACTGTAATTCCTACAGCACTGCATGTACAGTTTTTCCTAAGGAGACTGTCCTATGTTCACATTTCTACTTTTGTTTTTCTCTTTGTGCTAAGCAGTGCTGTCTTTTCCTTTCTGTATCACAGTGACATGATCTGTCAACAAATTACAGTAGAAACAGTCAAAGCCTAAATGTGAATCTTGTCCAGTCTCTTGCAATCAATCTCCCACATACACTAAGGTGTAACTCACAATTTACAATAACTGTCATCAAAACGTCAGCCATAGTTTACATCAGAACATCCCTCCAGAGTGCACTGTTATACTGACAACATGACTAAACAATCTGACCGTCTTATCCGTACACAATGACACAAGGACTTGTCATTCTAATGCCACAGACATGTTCATTGACACAGATATTTAGTTTTGAGAGATGAACTAAGGATTTTGAGCAAGTAACTGCCTTTTGCAGGTAATCCATGGTGTTTTGCTATTTGTACAAATTGTTTTGAGAAATGCACTTAATGTCGAGAATGATTTGAGAAATGAACCAAAGCAACTGAGAGAAACTGTAAAAGATGTCTATTTTTTCACAGTGATGTAAAATAATTAAGTATATCTACTCAAGTGCTTTACTTAAGCACAGTTTTTAGGTAGTTGTACTTCATACTTGCAATTTCAGACTGCTGGGGGACTTCCCATGATGCACTGAGCACCTCTCTCTCTCTCTCTCTCGCTCTCTCTCTCTCTCTCCCATTCAGTTGCACACCACTATTGTATGTCAGTAACCTTGTGTCTTCTCTCTCCTGTAGTTTGTGTTTTGTTCTCTCCGCAGGTGTCTGTGGATCTGAAGCTACACGTCTCTGATCTGCAGTTATTGGCCTCGCCGATCCTCGAAGTGTCTAATGTTCTCTTATGTATTGTTTGTCTGTTCTCCATCTGCTATCCTGTCATGTAGGACATTTAGTTGTAATGGGGTGTTATTCATCGCTGTATCTGTGCTTTTAATTAAGTAAACTATATTGGGAATTTTACGTATGTAAAGTGCCCCAATACTTCTGCCGCCACCACTTTTAAAACAAGCAAAATTTAAATTTAATAATACAGCAAGATGGAGAACAACTTAACTCAGTGGGACATCTTTATAAAAATCCTAGAAAAAGTTTGCCACACAGGACATAAGTCATTTTTTTTTACTATTGGCTCTGTGAGGGCTAGCTTTGCCCTTGAGAATAATTGTTGGATTTCTCTGATTCCTGACCACGTGCACACTGACCTGACACAGCCCCGACCATTAACATGCATAACCACCACCTATGTATGTTTATGTACTGTTTTGAACAGCAAGTGCCAAGGACATTCATGTGAACATAGATATTTCCTGTATTTGTTTAAATGCAGGAAGTGCAGCAGCTACAATCACAGGAAAGTGAGTCAGACACTCCTCCACCCATCGAGCTCACACAGGCAGTTAATTAGTGTCCACTTCAAAGAAATGAAAAAAGAAAAAGACAGATTCTTCCATGTCTGATGATACTGCTATCAGCTTAATGCCCTCCTGTCCACTGTGTCAGCTTTTTTGTAGGAAACAAACTCAAATATTCTCGGTCCTTCACCACAGTGTAACTGGAGCCAAAACATTGTTGAGTAATAAACAAGATAGGCATCAGCTCTGGGTATTCAAGAAGAAACACAAGTCCAGACTCATATAACAGCTCTGCTTGTGCTCAGTAACAGTTTGCATGCGAGTTTAATTACAGTTGCCTCCAAAGGTATTCTGACCTCTTTACTTTTTGCACATTCCATCTACTCTCAGTAACCTGTAATGACAATCAAAAACCATGTTTTTAAAATTCTTTGGAAATGAGAAATAATCGAAATCTCAATTATAAAGGTATTCAGAGCCCTTACCAAGGCTCTACAAACTGTGTTCACACTGTTTCCATTAATTGTTCCTGTCCAGAGCTTTTCCAACTGTGACAAACTGAACTGACTGAGCAAGGTTTAGAAAGGCATACATTGTGCTCAAGGTCACACAATTCAGACTGCGTGACAAAATCAAAGCCATGAAGTCCAGGGAACTCTCTGTAGACCTTACTGATTAGGAGGCGTAGAACTGGGGGAGGGTATTAAATCATTTCAAATATAGCTGTGAAATAAAATATATTTGATATCACCAGGACCTTTGATTAAGGAGATGACCAAGAACTCAAAGGTCATTCCAACAAAGCTTTAGAAGGCCACTGATGAGGGAACCTGGAAGGATGATCATCTCAGCAGCACCTTATTATCAGACTTTTATAGTAGAGCAGGAAGATGGAAGCTAAGTATAGTGCACACATTTAACAGCCTGCTTGGAGTTTGTCAGACTGCACTGAAATGTTTCTGAGAGCATGAGGAAGAAGAATCACTGATCTAATGAGGCAAAAAAAAAAAAAAACAAGCTGTATGGACAGAACTCCAACCCTTACATCTTCTGCTCATCACCTGCATTGCAATGGTTAAGCATGGTGGTGGCAGCATCATGTGAAAGGGGTGCTTCTTAGCTGCAATGACAAGAGGACTGGTAAGAACTGAGGGAAGGATGAATGCAGCCAAATACAGACATAAGAAACCTGCTTTAAAGTGGATATTACTGAGACTGACCTTTTAGCACTTTAATGACCCAAACACTGTCCCGCAAAAATGAAAAACTATACGGCACAAAGACCATGTAATGGTAGGAGTCAGTTTAAGTCACTCTAGACTTTCACCATGGAGATGGGTGTTCATGTCTGGACTGGGACCATTAGTCTTAGACTTAACTTTTGTTTTTATTCACTGTCTGGTTGGGTTTTAGTGATTTCGTTTTTAGCAGACACACTATGGGACAAGTCTGACTTCCCTTGAGCTGCCCCAAACATGATATTAGCCAGGTGATGAGCAGACTTAAGCCTATCAGAACATCCAGCTTCCATCCAGTCTGATGGAACGGAACAGGCTCAGCAAAAAGAATATAATAAACTGTCTAAATGACACTTTACTTGCTGAAAAACAAGCTTTAACAAAGTAATGCTTTTATAAATAAGAGATTTAAATTTACATAATATTCTGTCATTAAGAATAACTGTAGCTAAATTGGCAAAACACATGTTTTCCCCATTTAAAATTAAATCTACAGAATTTTATACAACATTTAGCTCGATGTATGATCAGATGTACGTGAGCGTGTTCACACTGGTGTTTGACTGACAGCTTCCTCATTGTCTTCATAGTTTCATCTGTCAGGGCAGTACAGATTGTACTCGTGTTATTTGGATAGTACATAAACTTTTACAACCTGACCAGAGATCTAATCAGCCACAGTAACTTCAGTCTTTTTGAAGTGTCAGTTTTCTTATAACAATGTGAGAGCTGTAATGGATTGATAGATAAAATATCCATATGTTAGATGTAAGCAATTTAGCTATACGACCTGCATGCTGAAGGAGACACATTATATTTTACTTTCCAAATGTATTAGAAACCCCAAGATGCAGATTTTCATCTAGAAATAATCTGAATAATGTTAAATCTTACACATAATTACTAAATGACCGGTAAGGTGTTGCTTTTCATATTGATCCTGTTATGGCCTCATACTGTAAAGTAGAAAAGCATGTTTTTAAGTAGCCTCAGCGTGTTGTGAAGTAGTACATTATGCACACAATATTTCCTGTATTTGTTTAATGGTGGGAAATGGCCAGAATTCAATCACAGGAAAACACCTCTGTGCTCACACACACACACACACACACACACACACCTACACACACATTCACAGTGTTGTAGTCACAGGGAGGAAATCACCAGAGACAGAAAGACTAATTACTTAATTTTTTTTTTTTAAGAGTTACCCTTTAATAAAGAACACTGAAGTACACT